TGTGATGACACTATTGTGCAATAAGAAATGATGAACAGGCAGATTTCAGAAAAAGACTGGAAAGGGTCCATGGCTTCTTGCAAGCCAGGACAAGGATTTGACTGTTTCTGCTGGTGGTTATCTTCTTCAAGAATGTGTAGTTGCAGAACACTCTTCTTCCTGCCAGTCAGCTCTTAACAAAGGATTCAGGATCTCCTGACCTCGCAGATTCATAAGGCTGCTTTGAAGGCTGCACATGCACATTTTGCTATTGCTGTTGGAATACCTGTGCTCATAGAAGGAACCAAAAACAGAAAAGGCAGCCATGGGCCCAAGGCCCAGGCTCAAGCTCTCTAAGACAGGATGTGTGTTCATTGCCCATGTGCCAACAACCTGCACAAAGAAGCCATCTCCCCTTTTTAAAGCCTACCAAAAAAATAAAGTCTACTGAGTAACTCTTCCTGGCTCAGTGGCCAGTTTTCTTAATGCACATATCCCTTTCTACCATCACAGGTCCAAGGGACCAAAAAGGGGATTGCATTAGCATCAGCTGGAGGCATCCAGGGCAACTAAGTGCATGCCTGATAGAATAGTCTCTTCAGGTCCATCCCCATTCATGTTCTGTGGGATGCATCCTGATCCAACTCCTGATACCCAGAGAATACTACGTTCTGGGAGAAATCAACTGTGATCTAAAGGACAATGGAGGAAACTCATGCTTTATGTTAAATGGTCTACAGCATTTTAGCATGCTGACTTGCAAGTGAGAAATGATGTAAAAGGTACATCAATAACATGTATGACTGGAAAAGGGTATGAATCAGTTATATAGAATAATGGGCCACAGGTAGTCCAATAGGATCATAAAGGAGGCACCATAGGATCATAGGACTTGGATCTGCTAAGGACTTTAGATATGTCCAGTCCAATGCTCTCATTTTACAGGTGAGACCTGGGAAGTTGGAATGACTTGTCACCCACGTAAGTAGTGGATAGTGGTAGCAGAACTGAAATTCAGACTCAGGTTTTCTGATCCCAAATTCAGTGCTCTTTCCAACATGTTAAATAAAGAAGCTAAGGAGCAGTAAGAAGGGCAGAGGAAAAACCAAGACTCTGTGGTGATAAAGAAGCCAAAGGAACAAAGAGTTTCAAAGAAGGAGGTGGCATCTGAGTTATCTAATAGTATCAAGAGTGGTCAAGGATGTAAAGGACTGAGAAAAGCTTTTCTAATGATTACGTGAAATCAATGATGACCTTGAAAAGAGCTGTTTCAGGGCAACTAGGTGGCACAGTGGGTAGAGCAGTGGCCCAGGAGTCAGGAGGACCTGAGTTCAAAACTGGCCTCAGACACATAACATTCATTAGCTGTGTGACTCTGGGCAAGTCACTTAACCCTAATTGCCTTGCCAAAATAAATAAGATTAAGAGGTTAATAAAATCTTTAAAAAAAGAAAAGGGCTGTTTCAATAAAGTGAGTGCTCAGTTCTGCTCTCTGCCTCCATCAGATTAGGAGTTGGGAAATTGACTTTGAGTCTTGAAAGATGTAGAAAAGGATTAGAAAAGCTTCTATGGGGAATATGATAAGGAGACGAGATTAATACTGTTGCGATCAGACTATGAATTTCAGATGTGGTGTACCTAGTCAAGTACACTTTTATAACTCAGCAGCAATAGTCAGTAAACGGGGAGTAGGAATGGAAAAATTAAGTGGTGGGGATGATTAAGAGCTGGGAATTGACAGCAGGTATGGCAGGTCAAAGGCGTTTAGGTCATTTAAGAGAAGGCTTGATGGAATCCAGGTTGGGTAGAAAATCAAATAATTCTCTCTCTCCCTCTGTCTCCCCCCACCTTGTTTCTATCACTTTTTTATACAAAATGGAGATGGATATTGAAGTATTTTTCAAGACCATCCCAAGGTCACTATTCCAACTTGCCCTCATTCAGGATTGAGACAACTGTGACACAGGGATCCTGGTGAGAGAGAAAAGCAGATTTGAGAGATATGACAGGGTTAGATGTTAAGCACAGTGATGGGTGGCTAAAGTGGATGAGATCAGAGTCCAGATGACAGTTTTGGTCTCAGTTGGATCATCAGCATATTGAAGGTCACTGAGATGTCATCAATAGAAAAGAAAAAAGTGAAAGTCAAATACATATCAAGGAAAACAGAAATATGTCATAAGTGTTAGATGAAGGCAGTAGAGCAGTAAAGAGAGAATGTGACCTAAGCAGATGGTGCATACTTATGAAAGAAGTAGAGTAACAATGATGGAATAATGAATGGGAACAAAAGTTGGCTGGCACACCATACCAACCACTTTTCTTTCTTTTCTCTTTTTTTAAAGTACTTTACTGATACTTTTAAAAATATCACTGTCACTGCCCCCTAGATCCTGAAAAAACCCTTACTTGATCCTTTCATCCCTATTATCTGTTTTGATATTTGTAGCTAAAGTCCTAGAAAAGAGGTATCTCCAATAGCTTCCAGTTTCCTTCCTCTTACTCTCTTAATCTCTTATGATCTGGCTTCTGACTTTATAATTCCACCAAAAATGCTCTTTCCAAGGTTGCTAATGATGTCTTAGTTGCCAAATCCAGTAGCCTTTTCTCAATCCTCATCCTCCTTGACCTTTCTGCGACCTTTGACATCTTCTCTCTAGGTTTTCAGGACACTGCTGTCTTCTGGTTCTCCTACCCATTTGACCTCCCCTTTCTGTCTCCTTTGCCCAGATCACTCCCTTTAATGGTAGGTGTTTCTTGGGTTCTGTCTTGGGCCCTCTTTTCTTCTGCTTTTATCCTATTTCACTTGATGATCTCATCTGCTTCTTTCAATTTAACTATCATCTCTATACTGATGATTCATAAATTCACCTATCCTGTCCCAAACTCTCTGCTCACCTCCAGTATCCAAATTCCAACTGCCTTTTTCAAACATCTCAAAGTGGATGTCCACTACATATCTTAAACGTCAGTCTCCAGAAGGGAACTCATTATCCTTCCCCCTACACCTTCCTACCTCACCTACCTTCTTTGTTGCTATAGAGGGCAACACCAGGCTCTCAGGCTCACAACCTAGATGTCATTCTGTATTTCTCACCATCTCTTGCCCTCCGTACAAATCCAGTCTGTTGGCTTGTTGATTTCACCTTCCCAACATCTTCCTCCATATCCCTCATCTCTCCTTTGACACTGCCCCCTCTCTAGTACAGGCTGTCATCGTCTCACAACTTGATTACTGCAAAAGCCTACTGGTGGATCTGCCTGCCTCAAGTCTCTCCCCACTCCAATCCATCCTCCATTCAGTCACTAGAGTGATTTTCCTTAAAGCTCAGGTCTGATCATGTCACTCTCCTACTCAATAAACTCCAGTGACTGCCTATTGCCTCCAGAGTCAAGTACAAAATGTTCTGTTTGACATTCAAAGGCTATCATCACCTAGTCACCTCCGACATTTCCAGTGTTTTTACACCATACTTCCTGACATGTACTCTTCAATCCAATGACACTGGCCTCCTGGCTATTCCATGAACAACATACTTCATCTCTTGGCTCTGGGCATACTCTCTGGCTATCCTCCATGCCTGGAATTCTTTCCTTCTTCTATTCCAACTAGTGATCTAACTGGCTTCCTTTAAATCACAACTTAAATCTTATCTTCTACAGGAAGCCTTCTCCAACCCCTCCTATTTCCAATGCCTTCCCTCTGTTAAGTGTCTCTGATTTATTATGTATATAGTTTGCTTTGTATATATTTGTTTGTATAATTAGTCCCTCATTAGATTATAAGCTTCTTGAGGGCAGGTAGTGTTTTTTGCCTCTCTTTGAATCCCAACCACTCAGCACAGTGTCTGGCACATAATAACCACTTCATAAATGTTTATTGATCAATTGATTGATTCTCTCATTGAGCAAGGGTAGTAGAATGTGAGGATTCCATTAGCAAGGACCATGGTAGGGATGAAGTTGGTCGGTTGGTTGTTGTCCTTCATTCTTGAAGAGGCCCTAAATGACATCACTACGTTGGAATCAAGGTACAGCATATGCAACTGGGGCTGATCAGATCAATACAAGCTTGGAATGCTCTGTCAGGCACAAACAGCACATACGAACATTTGGAATGGAGACGTCTCTAAATTTGTGCGTGTCTCATTTCTATTGAGGTGCTATGATTCTGCTTCTCTGCTCTCTGCAGTAGAGTGAATGCTTCATAGTTTAGCTCACAAAGGACTTATCTTGCCAGGCGAACCTCAGAATCTTTCTAAGAGAACTTAAATGGAAGTGATTTAGATTCCTAGCAGAGCGCTGGCATACTGTCCAGGTTTCAGACATACAATAATGAGGTCAGCACAACAGCTCTGTAGACCTTCATTTTGATAGGCAGTAGATGGAGAGAGTAAGGGCTCAGTTAAAAGAAAGAAAGAAAAGAGTGTGAGGATGTAGGGGAATTAAACCCACAACAGAAAAAGAGCTCTACAAGACACAGTTGTGAGGGGGCTAGTAAAAAAGATAGTTTGTGAGGAGTTAGATGGATGGAACTGAGTGTGTGTGAAGAAATAATAGGGCAAAAGGGGTTCCGAAAAGGTCCACTGGTATGGATGATAACAAAGAAGCAAACAGAAAGGTGAGAGATAGGCTGGAGGCCAGTGAGTGGTAGGGAAGGACTGTTGAATTGGCCTCTGTGTTCCAAGTAGAAGGATGAGTGTGGCAGAGAAGCCACAAACCTACCTTCCCAGATTTGTGGGGAAGATAAACGATTCCATTTATGCTTCTACTGCTTGAGGCAACTTGAGCTAGCTGGGAAAAAATTTCCCAGGGGATATAGCATTTTTCAAACACTTTCTTACCACACCTTCTGGAAAGCCTTTGTGATAAGAGGTGTTTTTCCTCAGTGGAGTGTAATAATGTATTGCTGGTTTAGACATTCCTTCTATGCCCCGCCCTGTCCATTGTGACAAACTACCTCTGGTCCTTGTTTAAATCAGATCCCTGGCTATTAGAGTTCATAACCTTGTGGTTGCTCTCAACCTGTTTTGGTTAGCAAACTGATCCTAAAACTAGAATTATTGGCTCAATAATTCCTCTGGATGGAAGTGAATCCCCCCAAAATGTAAGTTTGATATTCATTTGTCTTTTAAAATAACTGTTCTACTTTTGACCAACACATTATATTGCTATGATTTTATAATTTTTAAGTGTTTTGGTGTCTGAGGGGAGCCTTATACAATGGAACAAAATATCCACGAACTGATAAGGGAATTACTTTTTCAAAGGGTTTGTTTGGTCTTCTCAGATTTGTTGGCTTTGGGTTTTTTTTTTAATTGTGAATTTGACAAACAGCAACAAATATGAACATTTCCATGTGTAAAAAACAGAAAAAGAGTTGTATGTGAAAACCACAAATCTCTATTATGTATAACTTAAGTGTTAAGTATTTATGAAATTTGACATGGCCATTCTAAATCTTCCTTGCTTCTTTTTAGCCCCTTCAGAACTTCCTTCTATTCTCTTCCTGTATTTTTTAAGGTTTCATTGAGACTTTTTCTCTTTCGCATTTCTGTCACTCCACTCCACCCTACAACTCCCACTGTGGCAAATAAAAGCCCTCCCCTGTAACAAATATGTATAATTAAAGAAAACAAATTTATCTAATGATTGTGTTTCATTCTACAACTATAGTCCACTATCTCTCAAGAGATGGGATGCTACATTATCAGTGTTCTGGGGCTGTGACTGGTCATTGCATTGATCAAGATGTCTTTTAAAATTGTTTTCTGTTGTATACTTATATCCTTTTATCCTTGCAGTCATTATATGAATTGTTTTCCTGGTCTGCTCACTTCATTGCATCTGTTCATACAAGTCTTTTCAGGTTTTGCTAAATCAATTCCCTTTGCAATAATATTTCATTACATTCATATGTTGTAATTTGTTCATCTGTTCCCTCTCTCTTCCTCTCTTTAATTAAATGGCTTGCCCAAGATCACACAGTTAGTGAATGTCAAGTGTCTGAGGCTGGATTTGAACTTAGGTCTTCCTGGCTCCGTGGCTGGTGCTCTATCCACTGTACCAGCTAGCTGCCTCTCATCCGTTCTCCAATTGAGGAATACTCTTTTTGTTTCCAGATCTTAATTACAATAAAGCATGCTAGTATAAATATATTTTTACACATAGATCCTTTTCCTCTTTGGGGAAAAATCTTTGACCTCTTGGAGTGGGGGGTTGGGAGAGAGTATAAACCTGGTAGTGGTATTTCAAGGGTGAGTCAAAGGGTATATAGAGCTTAGTGATATTTTGGGCATAATTCCAAATTGTCTTCCAGAACAACTGGACTAATTTAAAGCTCTGCCAATAGTATATTAGGGTCCCTGTCCTCACACAGCCCCTCCAATAACTGTTATTTTCCTTTTTCTGTGTATCATTTTTGCCAGTCTCATAGAGGCAGAACCTCAAAGTTTTCATTTGCATCTCTCTTCCTATTAGTTTGGAGGATTTTTTTCATATGGTCGTTGATAATCTTTTGAGAAATGTTCATAGCTGTTGACCATTTATCTATTAGGGAATAACTCTTACTCCTACATATGTGTATTAATTACTTATATATCTTGGATATCCAATATTTATTACAGAATTTGCTGCAAATATTTTCCCCTCATTAACTATTTCCTTTATAATTCTAACTGCATTGGTTTTGTTTGTGTAAAAACTTTGTACTATACTTTATGTGTAGTACACATAAAATCCAGGCATCCTTACATGAACTCTCACTCTCACTGATAAGTTGCATTGCTATGAGCTTTTCATTCGTTCCTTTTGAGAGGCATATAAGCTTGTTGACTAGATTAGATTTGGTTGTAAAACTTATGCCAACTTCAAGACGCCCCTCATCATCATGGCTACCACTCCAGAAAGATCTGTATCCAGCTCTGACTTTGGTAAGCTGGCCTTTATTTGCCAGCCTTATTCAGTCCAGCCTTGTTCAATCCATCTTTCTAAAATCATGGCTCCATCAGTACTGAATGCAATTGAGATGCACCATACATTTTTGGCCCATAAATAGCCTTCAGAACATCATAAAAGTGCTTTGGATTATTACTATCAGAGTAAAACTGAATTTCATCTGCCTTCTCACTGAGCCAAGAATCCTGCATCTCTCTAAGCTTTAAATGCTGCCTTTGTAGAGATGAAGGAAGCTATCTTGCTGGTAAACCTTGAAGAGTTCTTGTTTTTCATGTAGCAGCTTATAAATTTCCCCATCATATTTGTCAATCTTGATTGAGAATGTTCTGGCCCAGATGAGTGAATGTGGTGCTGTATACCAAATATCTGAAAGCTGCCCACTCTTTTTCTGCTCCACTGTTGCCAGCTGTGTGTTGGCTCAGCTTTCCCTCTGAGACAAATGAAAAGCCTGAGATGCAGAGTTTCTGAGTAATTAATAATCAATTTATTAATTAGGTTGACTGATAATCATGAATTGATGGTAAATGGTTTCTTTTGGTAATCAGAGACACCTAATAGAGACACTGGTGCCTTAAATAGTTTTTTGAAAGGGAATTCTCCTGACAGAAGAAATTAACCCTGATTAGTGAACAGTTAATAAAGGAATGGACTTTTAAATGAGGAGGTAGACAGAAAATCTTCAGCTCTTCCTGCTGAGAACGTGGCTTGATCATGAGACTCTGCCACTTCCAGCAGTTTGGACAAAGGAATCCATCTGTACCCAGACAACTCTAGTTGGTTTTCTTCCTGAGCTGGATCACCCCAGTAGAAGGATTCAAGGACATGGGCTTAATGCTTTGGAGATGGAATTCACCTAGATTAGATTCTGTTGACACTCTAAAGAGAAGTAAGAGTTTCTAGTTGTGTGCCCTCCCACCCAAAATCAAGGAGCTTGCTCCAGGAAGATTTGGGTAATCTCATCTTTCAGCCAATGTCCTCCAGAGACTGACTGAGTTACAGGAGTTTGTCCCTGAATGAGGAAAAGAGAGAAAAAATCTTAATCCTAATTTAATAATTGGTTATTAACAGAAAAGAAAATAATAATTTCACCTCCAAGTTAGCAACAAACTGTTTACACTTGGGGAAGTGCTCTAGTCTGTAGAAATGAAGTTTTCTGATAAGTCATCTCGCCTTGGGGCCACTGCTTTTACTGAATGCAAATGTTTAGTTTGGAGAGGATATATCTATAATTGGCCCAGCATTCTATACCACACATCACCTTTGTCACTTTCACATTTTGTCTGTCTTTTCTCCTTACAATGACACACAGTCTATTAAATGCCAATGTTTGCTCTGTGAAATTATATTGCATTTGGTTAAATGGAAAACAGTGTTGGTGATGAGAAGGTCATGAGACGCACAAGTCTTCAGTAATAAGTGACTGTTGCTTTCTCTGCTTCTGACTGCATTCCTCTCTGCGGTATTTGATGGCCTGTGCCTACTCTAGCATTGAAGCCATTAAGAATGTCAAGCTTGGGGCAGCTAGGTGGCACAGTGGATAGAGCACTGGCCCTGAAGTCAGGAGGACCTGAGTTCAAGTCCAGCCTCAGACCACACACTCGACACTTACTAGCTGTGTGACCCTGGGCAAGTCACTTAACCCCAATTGCCTAAAACTAAAAAAATTTTTAAAAAAGAATTTGAAGCTTGTCCTCTTTGACGCATTGATGATGAGAGTCTCCAAGTCTTCATAAAATTTTTCTTTGACCACATCAGGGCTTGTCATGGGGAGCATACACACTGATGATGATGGCTTGGCACTTTGTTGCAGTAGGCACTCTCACACTGTCATGAGCCTGTCATTCACTCCCTTTGGGAAGCCAAGCAGACAAGCTTGTTTACTAGGTTTAATTGTGAAACCTATGCTGGCTTCATGATACTCTTCAGCATGGCAGCCGCTCCAGAAAACAACGTGTTTCCAGCTCTGACTTCAGTAAGTGGGCCTTCCTTTGCCAGCTTTGTTTCATGCAGGGTTACTATCTGGATGTGACACCTGCAGAGTTCTCTCACAACAAGAGCTATTTGTCTTTCCAGTTTCCTAGATTTCATGTTGTCTATAAGTGTGTGCACATTATGTTGGCAAAAGTTTTTATACTTTTTTTGTGTTTTGAATCAAGGGTAGGATCCACATCTGCAGGCTAGGGTTAGGTTAGGTAAAGTAGGCAATTTTTAGGACACCTTTTCTAGCCTCTTCCTCCCTCCAGAAGGTAAGCAGTGTGGTCCTTAACAACAAAAAAAAAGGCTGCTCAGACACCCGTGGGGCTGCCAAATCTACTCTTGTTTTGATCCAGTGAGAGACAGTCCTATGCCCTGGGCAGCCTGTGTGCAGGGTTATGACTACAGCTCGATACCTCCTGCTTCATCACTTGCCTATTGCCACAGGACTTCAAGGTAAGTAAAAAATGTTAAAATGGCATGGGCAGCCCTCACATCAGAGGTGCTAGTCTTCCTTGAGCACCCATATACCCCTTTATTTTTATTTCCTTTATTTTTCTTGTTTTCTTTTCAGAACACTTCTGATGCAGAATTGTGTTTTACATGACTATATATGTATAAGTATTTTATTTCTTACCTTCTCAATGGGCGAGGGAGGGAGGGATGGATGGAAGAATACAATAGGGAACTGAAAATAAAGACAAATTTTTAAAAAGAGTCACAAAACTTGGATTCAAATCCTGGCTCTGTCACTTAATGAAAAAAAAAAGTATAGTCAATAACTACAGGACAGAATGTTCCAAATCACTAATAAAAAGAGAAGCGCAAATCAAAATAGCCCTGAGATTTTATTTTACATCCTGGAAACTGGCAAAAATGACAAAAAATGGCAATACTCAATGTTGGAAGGATGTTGGGATGGATGGACACATTAATACATTGTTGGTGGAGCTGCAAAATGGTACGACCATTTTGGAAAGCAATTTGGAATTATGAAAATAAATGTCCGTACCCTTTGAACCAGATTTACCGGACTTATACTCCATTACCAGACTTACATCCTCAAAGAAGCCATCGATAAAAAAAAAAGTCCCCATATATCCCCAAACAGCCAACAATTGGAAACCAAGCAAATAGTCATCAACTAGGGAATGGCTAAATAAATTGTGCTACGTG